TAGGGGCAAGGGGCAACATGAAATCTCCCCTTCACAGTGAGAGGAAACTATGCTTGCAGGGGTCCCCTCTAGATAGCCTTAGGAGTAGGTAGTGACAGGCAAAAACAGAAGTTGAGAGAAGAATATAGAAAAAAAAATAAAAATAAAAAATTTGTGGGGTGCCGACGAACCCCGACCGTAGGTGGCGACCGGACGGCGGGTCGGCAGCCGACCAGTCAAGGGTAGCCGACGGTCGGGGTGTGCAACACTGCAAGTCATGGTGTTGAACTGCTGGCTTTCTGTATCACCTTGAACCGGGCTGTTTATGGCATACCTGGTGTACCTCTTGAAGGATGAGGATGCTACCCATGAACAGCATTGGTTGTTATTTTCGTGTTTGAACGGTTGGAAAAACTATCAGGGTAGGCTGGAAAGGCTTGTTTGGGCACTGAGAGTTCCTTCATTTTCTTGTCGTTCATTTTGTTTTTGATTTACAACTCTGTGAGAGGTGCAAGGATTATGAGCGGGAGCGATAGACAGAAAACCAAGTTTCAAAATCACGAAGTAGCTCAGATAGACGTGTCCCAAGAAGAGAGCACTATGCACCAAGATACCATGCAAATAAGAGCAATACAATGAACTCTTGTGTCAATGTTGCCACACTCTGGTCACACCAACACAGTTTCCACTGTCCACCCATACTGTCTGGCGCTCGGCGCCCAGCCTACTCAAGTCAGCCTATCTAGCCTACCTAGATTCTAACATCCAGATCACATCGCAGTTGAAGACCGATGTACGTTGACGTCATTGCCAATGTCGACAGCCAGCATACACCAGGTACCTGCTCTTTCCTCCCCCCATCTCACCTCGACTCCCCCTCTGCATGTGCCTCCTACCCAAAGACCACCATCGCCAGCACCTGCACCTGCACGTTCGGCCCGGCTATGGTCGCCGTGCGCCTACTGCCACCACAATGCCCTGTTCACTGCTTATTGCTTGCGCGCGGCCCAGCCTGCCTGCATAGAGCAGCTTGGGATGACAATGCAGCAGCGTCGCCGCAATGCCTTCACAGGCCAGAATCCCCTCCCACTGGGTGGGACACACACTTTCCTTTATGGAAAGTGTGCTCGCTGCTGGCTGGCCTGGCCAGGTGTGGGGGGGGCCCCAGTAGCTTGCTTCTTGCCCCAGGTGTCTGCGCCCGGGCACAGTTTCCGATACTGGCCTGGGCCTCGTGCAGCTGGGCACGTTCAGGCAGCCACCCAGCCTCCAAGTGTTCGCAGCGTTCTCATTGGCTCCCAGCTCATGTGTGACGACAATGCTGGTCTCTCATTGGCCCGCAGCCTGTCCATGATGTGTCAGCCTTACACAACATGTGCCCAGGGCGCAACCACCTGGGCCCTGGGCTCAACTGTACAGCGCAGCCCTTGCTTCCGGAAAGAGCCTGGAGGCTCACGTTGCTCTGTAACCAACTGGCATGCTGCAACTGTCTGAATCCCCACTCCTCTATACTACTAACGCATGCAAAGGGCCCTGCGTGGGGCCCAGCAGAAACCGGGCTGGAACCGCACAGGCCCAGCGGGACACCGACGGGGCGGGGGAAGGGCCGGGCCGCTACTGGGGGTCGAAGCATGGGGAACCGTCGGGCCGGGGGTCGAATCGTGTCGAGGACTGGCGGGCGAGGGGCGAAGTGGCGCCGGAATGCTGGCAGACGTGCGCGGCCCGCGGGCAAGGGGAGGCCGGGCTGGGTGTGTATATTTTGATATTCTAGCGGTAGATTCATTCGATTTTGCTCATCCTATTGATGGAAGTACCCTCTCTCACTCACACACATGCGCACGCACACGCACACGCACACACACTCACACACACACACACACACACACACACACACACACACACACAAAAGTGTGGCAGTGTATATTTCCATGTTCTACTGGTAGATTCGTTCGATTTTGCTCATTGTATCGATGGAAGTACCCTCTCTCTCTCACACACACACACACTCTTGTAGTAGTGTATATTTCGAAGTTCTAGCGGAAGATTCATTCCATTTTGCTCATCCTATCGATGGAAGTAGCTTGAGGCCAGCCACGGGGTCGGAGACTTACCTGTTGGAAGGTGAGTTGCTCAACCTATCGATGGAAAACTCTCTCTCTCTCTCTCTCTCTCTCTCTCTCTCTCTCTCTCTCACAACAGACGATCCATCATCTGTTGTTGTTAAGGACACCGCTTAACAACAACAGATGATGGATCGTCTGTTGTGTGTGTG